CTTTCTTTCTTTCTTTCTTTCTTTCTTTTTTTCCTTCTTTCTTTCTCTTTTCCTTTTTCCTATGTTTTCTCCCTAATTTTCCTTGTACTATTCGCTTCGCTCAATCATTTGTCTCTTCTTCCATCCATTCACGTCTGAACACGTGTTTACATCAACAAGACAGATTTATCAACTCTCTTTTCAATTTCCCGACTAACAGTTCCTTATCTTATATCTATACATGTCATGTAAATTATCATTTCAACAAAACATGAATGCATTATCTATATTCGATATTTATATGAAATGCTTTATAAAACAGGTCTTTACCTCGGTTTCACGACAAACCTGCAACAGACAGCGACTCAGAACAACGACCTGATAAAGAAAAACACGACAAGCCTGCGACAGACAGCGACTCAGAACAACGACCTGATAAAGGAAAACACGAAGAAAACCCGAAAGAATCTTCAGACACCGAAACTAAAGCGACGAAGAAAGAAGAAAATCCAAAGCCCTCAGAAAAACAAGAAAAAAATAAGGAAGGAATCGATAATATGGCTTTTACGACAACAAAAGATGACAACGAAGAAGAAAAGGCGATGAATTCAATCTTCCAATCCTTCAATAATTTCACAAGTAAGTTTAAATTTTCTTCGGATAAAATCGATAATGTTGAGGCCGGTGAGAAACCGAAAGATGCTGTCGACAATTCTGCCGAAAAACCACCGAAAGATGAATCAATTATCGTAGATTCCGGGGGGGAATCTAATTTATCCCTGGCAGAAAATAAAGGTAACCAAGGGAACGAGACAGAGGAGCAAAGCTCCATTGAAACTAATGAAGGGAATGCAGCTGATATAAATAATAAAGAAAACGATGATAAAGAAAACGAATCAACGAATATTCCCGAACGAACAATTTCAGTGCCCGAAGTCACGACGATCGTGACGGCGCCAGAGCCGAGTGAACCCGAACAAAAGCCGGATGAAAAAAGAAAGAAAGGCGGGAAAACCGCGAGTCGGTCCGATAACGTGCTGTTCTTTGAGGGAGCAACGCTGTCGTCTCCTGATTTGGAGTTAAAGAGAAGACATAGTACAGACTTTGTGTCGGTGCCGAGACCGCTGAATGAGGAACTTATTCAACAGGATATGGAGAAAAAGGGAATCCCATTCAAGAGAAAATCGACCAAGAAAATTCCACAAGGAACTAGAGGTAAGAATAGAAGTAATAAATTTAGCTTTAGTTTTTGATAAATAAATATGATATAATATAATTTGTGTGACCATGTGAGTCAAAGTCCCTTGAGATGTGAATAATATTGAAACAACCGTCATGTTGGTTTATCTAACACGAGAAGCTAATGAGGAATGCTTTGCTATCGTCGACCAAGATGGCGGCAATGACGTAGCATGCACCTGTTCTATACCTATAGTCTGTCCATCTTTCTGGGTTTTTTAGTTTTTTGTTTTTTTTGTTTTTTTTTTTTTTCGATTAAGCTTTTTTTGTTTGTTTGTTTGTTTGTTTGTTTATTTGTTTGTTTGTTTATGGATATTTGTTTTCCTATTTGTTTACGTATTTGTCTTGGTTTTTGTTTTTGCTTGCTTGAAGACTTGGTTGAAAGCCGGTCCTATAAAATATTAATCAGGAAAAAAAACACTTAACAAGCAATGAAAGAAAGCCGAAAAAAGCTAAAAGTAACTGACAAGGTAAAAATTAAAGGTGCTAACCGCATGAATTTTTGAAAAGGAAAAAAAAATTAACTAAAAAAAATATCGGTCTCATTTACAAAAACATTAACAAGGTCTTGTTCACTAGATTCCAGCAGAGAAGGAGAAAAAAGTTGAGTTTGGTTAAAACTGAATGACAAAAGGAGTAAAAAAATCTTAGAAGAAAAAGCGGTTAGCTTTTAATTATAAAATACATTGCTCGTGGCTGCAATACTTCTTGTTTTTTTTTTTAGGTTTTATTTAATTAAATTTCCTTAGAATAAGGTTAATTAAGAATCTTCGGTCATCGAGGTTATCTTTTTTCAATTTGCTGTCATTTTCTTGGAGTGTTTGTCAAGCTGAGCGTGGACAGAAGAGACTTGAACTGACATTGTTTCGCGAAACGATGGACACTGATTTTGGCAAAGGTAACACGGAATATATCATCGAGGAAAAAAACACCAAGCCAATTTAATAGCAAAGTTCTTGAATGACTTAGAGCCAAAAACAAGGGGTTTCGACCGCAGTTTTACTGAAAACTTAACCACTTAATCGTCTTAGTAGCCTTAAATACGAATAATATGTTTATATTTTAATTGCTCGCAATTGTTGGAGGATTTAAAAAGAAAAGGCAATAGAGTAAGCTTCTTTTAGCGGAATTCTAATCGGGTTTATTTTGCTTTAAGTTCAATTATTTTAAGAGGAGGCGATGGTTAAAAATGCGAAGAGACAAAACACCAAATTCAACTAAGGTGTTCCATTAGAATCATATATGGAAAGGAAAGCAAGAACGACTGCAAGTGTCACTGGTATTGATGCTGTTGTCATTGCTGTTTCAGTCAAAGCTGTCAGTTGCGCTGCAGCTGTTCTTATTGCTGCTTCTGTTCTTGTTGTCATTGGCTGCTGTTAGTGCTGCTTATGCTGTTGCCATTGTTGCTGCTTTCCCTGTTGTCGTTGCTGTAGTTGTTCAAATTCTACTAAAATTAAATATCTTTCAAAAGAACATATTTATCATAAATATTCCTTTATCAATATTTTTCCAGAGCAAATGAGACGGGAAAGCTATTCTCCTCGAGTGGAGCGCAAGTCAAGATCCTTACAAACGAGCAGTCCTCTTGAGATAAGACGTAAAACTCTTGCGGAATTGGCTATAGAGAGCGGATACAAGGTAGAAGCATAACTTACGGTCGATAATGGTGTAATTCCCAATGCGCATGCTCTGAAAATGGGCGGGAAAATGGCAAACGCGTGTCAAAAGTATCGAAAAACTGTGAAATTATGAACATCAATACTCAAAATGCATTATGGGCGATGTGAATGAAATATACGACAGATCATAACATTCATATGGAATTTTTCCAAACTTTGTCTGCAAGTGTTTCCGGTATATATATATTTATAAAAAAATTGATTGGTTGGCTACCGTCTTAATATCAGAGGACAGAGACACGCTTGCGCAAAGTCGTTCAAAAATATTTTATAAAAGCAATATAAAAAGGCTGCTTACGTATGTCTCTGTACTGTGATATAAACACTCTGGCAGTTTCAGAGCACTCGTAAAGCAATAGAACCAATCGGCTACGCCTCGTGTTCCTAAGCTTGCTTATCTCGTGCCCTACAGTTCCCAGCGTGTTTATATCACGCAGTACATAGACATGCATGCGCGTTTTAAATTCCTTAAATATATATTGCATATGAATATAATGCATTTAAAGCTTGGTAAGCAAAATGCAACAAAAACCATCACTTTAAAAAAGGACAAATTCATATGTTTATTGGTCTCGATAGGGGCTAGTGAGATGCCTTATCGAACACTCCTTATTAAACCGCGCGGCTTGTGTTATATACACCGAATCAAAACATGGCGTTCACTTTGAGCCACTAACTAGCGACTGACTAGCCTCGTGCGTGTTCACGTGTAATAAAGACAAAAGGGTTTTCACATCTTAGAGAGGCTAGTCCAGAACAATAGTGATTCAAATTGGTGGCCATATTTAGATTCGATGAACAGTCACCATTTTCTTTTTGATGGTACGAAGGTAGAACGAAGTAAATCCGAAATTGTCCCGAAGTCTTAGGCATAGGCCAATCTTATCATTACTTTGATTATTCCAGAATCCCAAAGCACCTGCCGATAGTGTTGATGGATCCAGTGAAACTTTGGATTCCGAGGTATGTACTTGGCCTATCCAGGTGAGCGGTGAATTTGTTTAAGCAAATCACAGCGCGTATAGCTGTTTTGGCGCGGCCTTCATTCCCAGGCTACTACTGTAACCCAAAGTATTTTTCTGCTTTCTTTCGACTAATATATAATATATGTGCCTACAAGAAGCAGAAATATAGAAAGAAAAAAGGAAAATAATTTCATTTTACTGTCATTTTTGCTTCATTATTTTAAGCTCCAAAAAAGCTTAGGGCCGGTCATTTTGTCCACTCATGCTTTGCGCGACGCGTTAACCGCTCAGCTGGGTCTTGATAGTTGCAAGCAGGGCTGCTTGCAAGGTGAATGAAATGCGCGCGCTCTTACGCATTTTCTGACCACTAATTTTCCTTTCGCCACAGGAATCCCACGAAAAGATAATCAGCGCTCCAGCCAAAAGTGCAAAGGGTTCATCAGAGATTCCGATAACAGGCGAACTGTACTTAACCCAAGAGTACTGCCAAGAGACCAGAGTATTCACAGTTCACATACACACGGCTAATAACCTGGCTATTGCCGATACTAAAAGAAAGACATCCGATCCGTATGTATACAACTAGAGTAGAACCTGTATAATACGGCCACTTGTTATTCGGCCAACCTCTGTCATGCGACCTCCTATTATTATTACAACCTCTTTTATACGACCACATATTAAAATGACAACCTCTTTCATATGACCACATTTTAAAATGATAACCTCTGTTATACGACCAACTTTTATTATATTATCTTTGCGTGTTCCTTTGCTTTTTTAGGTACGTGAAAACCTACCTTCTTCCTGACAAAAGAAGCAAAAAGAAAACAAGGACGGTGCGAGACAACTTGAATCCAGAGTTTGACGAGGTCGTTAAGGTACAACTAACCAACGTCTCTCTTATTAGGGAACGTTTACTAGGCATGAGAGGAGGGCTGGTGGAATTTAGGGAGGCCACATAAAAAAGCACTCAAGGGGGGCACCCAAAAAATAATCAGCGATTAGAAAATTTCGCTGATTTCATTTAACTACATCGCGTATAGTGCATTTCAGGCTGGGCATGCAACATGCAACATGCAACATGCAACATGCAACATGCAACATGCAACATGCAACATGCAACAAAATCTTTATCAACCTTTTTTTATTATGGTTACATGCAACATGCAATTTGCAATTTGCAGCAAAATTTTTATCATTTTTTTATAATGGTTACATATACTATGTTTTTTTCGAGGATCCCCTGATTTACTTCAGTTTTATACCATTTTTTCTCACAGTACCATATCGGATACGACGAGTTACTCACCCGTACGCTGCTGCTGACCGTGTGGAACGATGATCTCTTTAGTCGTGATGAATTCCTCGGTGAAGTCGTCATCCCTCTTGGTTCGTTCGTAGAGAAGGGAAACTCGTTGATTAATTCTACTGCAAAGTGGTACAAACTTGGAGAAAAGGTATCGATGAAATATAACTTTGTGCGAAAACTGAAGTTGACTGAGCCTTATCATTGGCTGGGTAGTATTTTCGTGCACTGTGATTGGTTAAAAACGTCTCCTTAAAATCTGAACCATGACTGTTTCGTGTGACATGCGAAAGAGTAAGAAGAGTCTAGAGAAAGAATGACAAAGAAGAAAATACAGGAATGAAGAAAAGGAGGAAAGGAAGGAAGGAAGGAAGGAAGGAAGGAAAGGAGGAAGGGAGGAAGGAAGGAAGGAAGGAAGGAAAGGAGGAAAGGAAGAAAGGAAGGAAGGAAAGGAGGAAAGGAAGAAAGGAAGAAGGAAGGTAGAAAGGTAGGAAGCAAGGGATAAAGGGAGAAAGGAACGAAGGAAAGAAGCAAGCAAGCAAGCAAGCAAGGAAAACACGATGAAGGGAAGGAAAGGACTGAAAAGAAGGAAAGGAGGAAGGAAGAAAGGGAAGAATGTTGGAGGCAAAAAAACAGCCTTTATTGAAACATATTATTCTCATCTTTCTTACAAACTTGATTTCACTACAGACAGACTATGAGGAAAAGTTGACAATCCCTGAGCTGATTGTAGCCCTCAAGTACGTCACAGGAGATAAGACCAAGAAAAAAAGCAAAAAGTCTCAGCCAATGAAAGGGGAGCTGATGCTCCAGATACTAGAGGCCAAGAACCTACCAGGGAAAGATGCAGATGGCATGTCCGATCCCTTCTGTAAGATGTAAGTATAAAAATGAGAAAATGGCTCGAGTTCATAATAAATAAACTTTATTTAAGTAATTATTATATATAGTCTCGAGCCAAGAGATTTCTTTACCTTGGGCGTAATATTTTTCATTTCAGAGCAAGTGTCATTCCCTTGAGTATCATTTCTTTGTTTAACTGTTGCACATGAGAAGACACATGAATATGAATACAACTCAAACACTAGAAACTTATTCTCGAGAGAATGACACGTGGTCTGAAATAGAACATTCAATACCACACCTAGAATCACACAACATGCGCAGTCTGCCTTAATTCACTTTTTCGGCGCTAGCCTTCACGTGGTATAAATTCTTTTAGATTGTGCTACTGTCACCAAAAAGTTCGGACATCGTTCTTGAATTTCCGTACAAATGTACTGACTTTAAATGAACTATTTACTTGGTTTGTTTAGTTAGTTCTCTAAATACAAGTAAAATATCATTTTTCTAGCTTGATTGAAGCTTTTCTTATTGCTGTTAAGAGAGCTAACTAAAGAAATCTATCTAAATTTTCTCTTTAAACTCGGTGAATTTGTATGGGAATACGAGAACGATGTCCGAACTTTTTGGTGACCGTAACACAATCGAACAAAGTGTTTACGACGTGATGGCTATCGCCGAAAAGGAGAATTCACGCCACTCATGCGCAGGCTGTTTTAAATAGAACAGCTATAATCCTAAGAACGTCTGATCTCGTTTTCTCCTCAGATCCCTCCTGCCTGACAAGAAAGGGAAAACAAAGCACAAAACTCCCATAATCAAACGATCTCTAAATCCTTCCTGGAACTACAAAATGGAATATGAAGACTTGAGTATAGACGACCTTAACGAAAGGGTCTTAGAAATCACTGTTTGGGACCACGACATTGCGTCACGTGACGAATTCCTCGGCGGCGTAAGACTGGGCACGGGTGGAAGTGGGAATGAATGGGATGACTCAACAGAAGATGAAGCGCAAATATGGCACACGATGTTAAACCGAAGTAATGTCTGGATTCAAGTGGTTATTCCATTGAGACCAACTATGGATTCAAGGAAAAATATGTGAAAGCCTATTAGAGGCTTTTTATTCCCATAAATCCGTGCTAGAAAATATTTAAGCTGCTTTTCTTCGGTACACGAGACGTAGACTATCTATACTCTACGACTAAAAGAGCTACGAATTCTTCTAAAGATATTTCAGCAAAGGGCTTTATAAAAGATACAAGAAATATCACTTGTACTCGAAGAAGAAGGAAACTTTTTTAAAATGTAATATGTAGTTAATGGGAAGGAGACATATTCCACTCATACAGATAAATAATTCATTGCGAGGATGCTGACTAAAGGAAATATAGAGCATTATTGGCGTGCCTTACTAACTCCTAATCAAAATTTATAACCCTCTGAAATTTTAGTATTTACATGGACAATATTTAATGTTCTAGTAATGCACGCTGTTCAAAGATTTTATAGAACAATATGGCTGGAGCAAAATCAGAAAATAGATAAAGCTTCTTGCCAAATAATTAATCCGCTAGCATTGCTTAGAGTGAAGCCTCATTTCTACGTTCAACACAAGTCTCATTCTCATTATAAGGCTCCCGAAGAATTTAACGTGTATTGAGGCCCCGTCCACATTTATCCGGAAATCGAAAATGTTTGCGTCCACACGCAGCGTATTCGAATCGTTTTCACCATCCCGCACACGTATCCGTTTTCGTAAAATTTGCGGATACGGACACAAAAATTTCCGGACACGTGTGGACGGTCCTGTATCCGCAAAAAAAATATTTGCGGATACGTGTGGACGGGGCTTTGAATCAATTTATTAATAAGGTCATTAAGCCTCACTATATTTTCATGTTTAAGGTCAGAACTAGCCTCATTTCAATGTCAAAATGTCAAAGAGAGCCTCGTCTTTGTGTTCAACGTCAGCTTCGTTTCCGCGCACATCGTCAAGAACTACCAAAATATGTTAACTTCTGCCTCGTTTTTATGTTAAAGAAAAATGTTAACCTCGCTTTCATGTTTAAGGTAAAGCCTATTTTAATATGTATAAGTCAGAGCCTCAACTTCAAGCAAGGTCATTAGTCCTCGCCATCTTGCATCAGGTTAATATCAGCCTCACATCAATGTAAAGTCTTGACAGCGTCACCCTCATCTTCATGTGTTTGTCAGCATCTGTCTGTTAGGTGGCTGTATCGGCAGTAAAATCTCGATCTTTTTACTCAAATAGTGAGGACACTTTAACTCGTTTATCTGGACATCAGAACGAACTTCCAACCATCTTCATTTATTTTAACCTTCTTTAACAGGAATAACATCATGCACGCAGCATGTTGGCTTTCATTGTCAGCATTGCCTAGCTCAACAGACTAGTACCATTTTGTGTTAGTCAAAATAGTTAGTAGAGCTACAAACGTTCCTTGAAGGATTAAAAATGCACTCGTATGAACCCTTAACCCCACGATATATCTAGGAAGATTCTATCTCTTTTTTTTTGATCTTCATATTCGAATAATTCGCTCATCTTCAGAGCAGTCATATTTAGAACTTGGTAAAGAAAAAAATTTAAACTTTTAAATATGGACAAAAGTAATATTAAAATGCTTTGTTAATATTATATATATAATAGATATATAAATATAGCCATATAAAGTCAATTGGAATATTTATCACTAGGTATGACCTTCCACTCATCAAATATTAATATTTAAAAAGAATTAAATTTTGAATTTTAAAAATGGACAAATTATTATATCATTAGTAATAAATAATATTGGTGTTGTATTAAAAAAAGGTCTTGTGATTGCTAGCCGCCATTTTGAATTTCGAATGTTTAGACGCTGTATTTTTGGCAACGATCTTACTCAATCAACAAATGATCAAAGGGTGCTGGATTACATGTTAGTTTTTAAAGTAAAAAAGAGCTCATTGGTTCGTAATTGTTAGGATTCAAATTATTTTTGCAGTCAAGCATTAGATAAGCAAATTTAACATGACATGCAAATAAAAATGAGAAATACTAAAACAATCTAGCAGTATAGCTCTTCTCTGCTCCTCTCTCCTCTCCTCTTCTCCACTCTCCTCTCCTCTCCTCTCCTCTCCTCTCCTTTCCTCCGTGAAAATTTAAACTCCAGCCTACATGTTTTTCTTTTTGTATTCACAGGCGAAACTTAAGAGTCAACAATCAACCACAAAATTATCCATTTCGCAAATTTATTCATTCAATACCTAAGTAACATTACATTAATACTATCGACAGAATAAACAAGAAGTTTAGATTTATTTTTCTCTTGTTGAATGGCACGAGAATGTCCTATCCATTCTAGTTCTTGAACTTGATTCTTTTTTCTTTGCGAAACTGGAATGAAAAAAATAGTGACGTCATTGCCGCCATATTGGATGGAAATCACGAATTACATAAAAATAAGTGGAGTATTACTCAAGTAAGCATCCTTACATACCACCAGAGTAAGAAAACTTTACTTGTGAATAGACATTTTTCAAATTGGAAAAAAAACTTTACAAAGATCTAGCCTCATTTCAACATCATTTAAATTTTATTATAAATGCCAATAGTAAAGTATAGACCATTCGCGAATTAGCGTTAATTGCATTTATTTCAGTGTAGAAATACCAACGGTAAAGTAAAGGTGCGGACAGACGGTGCAACATTGCACGCAACATTGCAAGCAACAAATTTGAATCGGGGTGACACACATTGCAACAAAATCACGCAACATCGCTTGTGTCAGCCTGCTATGTTAAGATATTTGGTCAGCAGTTATAAATTTGGTGCAAGCTGATTGGTTGGAAATTTCAAAACGTTGCAGGTAATGTTGCAGCCATGTTCACATGATGAAATTCGTTGCGCCCAATGTTGCAAGAGTAGAGCGCGATTCAACTTCAGATTTGTTGCATGCAACGTTGCGTGCAACAAGTTTGGGGTAGACACGCTGCAACAGTCCTGTTGCGTGCAATGTTGCACCGTGTGTCAGCACCTTAAAGATTGCATAACTAAAACAATACAAGCACTTTAATAATTCCTGGAACACATGAATGTTCAAAACAATTCCATATGAAATCGCGACTAAACCTATGCAACTCATACAGCATTCGAATTGTTTACATGACTTCGACAATACATACAAACACTTTGAAATTCCACAGACCTTTACTGTAACACATGAATATTCTACAAAAAAAAAAAAAGGGGCTAACCCTGAGCATTGGAGAACTCGAAACTGTAGTAGTTTGTACTCATGTGTCCTTCAGGGATGCATTGTGGACCTTACCTCTACAAGAAGCTGAGCAGGTTGATGATCACCTTTAGCAAAGGTTACATGATCTTCGACAGTATTTCAAGACGAGAGGAAATTTGTTGTTACATAGATTAATACTGGCATAATGCTTACAGATTGAGTACTGGTCAACACAGTTACTATCTGAAAGAGAAAAATATGTAAGACGTATAAGAGTGGCAGCCATTTTGGATGATGTTCACTATAGGTGGTTTGTAATCATCCCTAAGGGAATAAAAGTGGTAGCCATGTTGGATGATGTTCACTATAGGTGGTTTGTAATCATTCCTAAGGGACTAAAAGTGGCAGCCATGTTGGACGATGTTCACTATATGTGGTTTGTAATCATCCCTAAGGAAATAAAAGTGGTAGCCATGTTGGATGGTGTTCACTATAGGTGGTTTGTAATCATTCCTAAGGGAATAAAAGTGGCAGCCATGTTGGATGATGTTCACTATAGGTGGGTTGTAATCATTCCTAAGGGACTAAAAGTGGTAGCCATGTTGGATGGCACTAAAATACCTTCGGTAGGGGGAACCGTCGGGCGAATAGACTCAGCCTTGTACACGTAGTTACTGAAGTTTACTCCGGTACACGGTGTGTCTGATCTGCCATCGCAATCCTTATACTCCTTCCCAAGGCAGCTTTTGGACGGACCGTCATTCGAGTATGTAGACGCTGAATTTTTCCCACTCCAGCACTCGCCAAAGAACTGCAACGAGAAGTGAGTGTAGTTTTTCTGAAGGACTTTCCTGGCGCATCTACAAGCAAGGCTAAAAAGAATGAAGGCAAGGCCAAGTTAGTTCAGTCGTTTTGTAGTGAGTAGAAGATGTGTTCAAGTGGAGTGAAGTCATTAAACCTGTGAAAAATAGATGTTACACTAATATACTTTAGTAGAACCTAATTCCATTGTTTTCTTTTGTGTCTATTTAACTATTACCGACGTTGACTAGTATCTCTTATAATTCACGGGTTAAATGCCTTCACTCTATGTTTAAAGTAGAGATAAGCAAAGCGTTCAGCTTCATGACCATCGGTTTCAAAAAGAGTTGTCCAAAATTGGCATGTATTTTGCAGCAAGATATAAAACCTTAAGATATAAAACTATGAATTATATTTGCGAATGAAGAAGGTCGATTCATGTCGTGTAGTGGTACATAAATTAGATGTAATCGTAAAGGTTTTTTCTAATAAAGGGAAGGAATTGGAATATAAGAACGATATGTGAGAGGAGAGGAGTAGAGAGAAGATGAAACGAGGAGAGACAAGGCGAGACGTGACGAAACTGAAGAAGGTAGAGCAGATCAGCCTTGAAGAACGACATGAAAGTAGGTGAGAATTTCTTCCAGTTGTCGAAATAAATTTTTCATCACTTACTCTTGCATGGACTGAACCGGCTTTTCCCAGTCAAAGATATGGCCATCAAAGACACCGCTACTTGGATCCCTGTTACTCAACACCAGCTCGGGCAGAGGACGGGGCGTGTCCATATGGTCACTATAGCAACCGATCTTTGTGATCTTCGCATACTTGCAGCTGCTGAGCACCTCTAAGGATAAAAATAACAACCCCTTAATAAACAGCAACAGATGAATACAACATAAATATAAGGACACGTGATAATTTTCCTTGATTTTGAGTGGTAAGAGTCAATTTGAGTCGCATTTATATAGCTTTACTAAAGGTAAGTAACTATACTGTTCAATAATAAATTCAATCACCCGAATGATTGCCATATAAATTGCATGAAAATTTCCCACTGTGAAAATTTGGCGGGGAATTAATATCGCGCCGTTGATAGGTAAATTATGTGCATTTTTTGATCATGTGATAGTTTCCCGCTATAAAAAATGGCGGGAAATATCCGTCAAGTTGCGGCTGCGTTTACAAATACTTCAATGACTAAGTTCCGCGGAAGTATCGATGCTCAAATTGCGCATTTATAGATCACGTGATTATTTCCCGCCATTAGACTGTCAAAAAGGTTATTGGAAAATGTGAATGGAACTATTATTTAGGAGTAATTATTGATACAATTACGATCAATACCTTTGTCATTGTTTGCCTCTATTTGGTTTGGAAATCCAAAATATCCTTGAAGCCCTAGAATAAGGCAAGAAAAAGAAGAATAAAGGATGAAAATGACAAATTATCACCTCCCATCCCCCTTCACATCTTCCCTCTGCTTTTTTTTCAATAATTCCTTTAACGTTCTTAACGCAAATGAGTCCTAAACATTTAAAATAATTTCAGATACACAAATTATTTTCGATTATAATTTGTAATTGTAATTTATATATATTTTAAAGCATTTTAAATATCTGTGAAATATCATGAAGTTTCTCAAGAAGAGAAAAAAGACTACCGATTCAGTATCGGTTTAATTCGTCCCTCTTAAATATCAAACACTTTTCCTAAAAGCGAATGAAAAAGGATATATATTTTGTGTATGTATTTTGTCTGTGAATTAATACCAGAATGAGTATGGGCCTCAACAAAATTCAAAAATCACAGTCCAAAGATTTTTTTTCTTTAAAATGGAACTGAGAAAATTTAAAATTTGAAAAGCAAAGACATCCAAAACTTTACTTTGTCGGTTGATATATTTTATCGAAAACGTCAAGACTGTTAGTTCTAGTTGTAAAATTAGCTGTAAAAAGGCCTAAGCATTAGTGAAATTAAACAAAAAAATTAAGGTGATTTACAAGAAGACTGAAAGTGCAAATAAGTACATAAAAAATAAGTTTGTCTAAAATATTCGTTCTTATAAAAAAATATCGTGTTCTTTTAATTGGTTGGAAATTAATAAAGCCTATTCTGATTGAAACGTGCGAATCTGACGCGCATTAACCGAGTAAGGTTTTTATATTTAACTAAGCTATAAAGGACAACTTGTAAGGTTTTTATATTTAACTAAGCTATAAAGGACAACTCGTACGTGATTTTTGAATTATGAACAAAAGAATAAAGATGGAAAATACTTTTTTTCGATGAGCAAAATAGGAATTAGGAAGTAATTTTCTTATAGATTTAAAGATATTGTTAATTTAAACGATACCTTTGCAAAAGATGGCCGCTGGAAACAAGGCAACCACGAAAAACAGGATCATCTTTAGCCTCTGCATTTTCGAAAACTTTTTTCTCCACAGAAATGAGTAAACGTTTGACAATACTTCAAATACCACTCTTATATATAGAACTCTATCTTAAGCTCAGCCGAGCCCAGAACGCATGGAAAATGACTTAGAAAACACTCTTTTCTCAACGATAAGAAGTCCTTAAATACAGAAATGTAAATAACGTTTTGACATCTTCAGAAAAGATAGTTTCCTTGCTTTTATCTTTGGTTTTCCGGTTCATTCTGTTTTAATATACCCTAAATATACATACATTCTCTAATACCTTTAGAATAAATAAAAGAAAAGCCAAAATGACAGAAAGAGAGGTTTAAATTCGGTGTCTTTCTCGCGCTTGTTTAATATGGTTCCGACGTTTCTAAATCGGATACTTTGAAGTTAAAATAAAAATAAAAATACTCAATAGCAATAATAATAAAATTTCTACAAATCCAAACTATATTAAAACCTAACGTTTACTTATTGATAATATACGTAATATATATGTTCGTTTTTTAAAAGAGTATTTTTAATTAATATTTTTGATCATTATTGTGTTTGTATTTCATACGGGACCATATCTCGTGTTGGAATAAAATTCAGAATGCGACAAGTGTATGTAACTAAAGAAATCTGTGCCAACACAGCTTTCTTGTTACTAAATTGAATATTTGACAAATTTAATACAAAACAAGGTGACTATTTGCGTACTAGTTTATGATATTCGGTTACAAAAGGTACGCTGTTTCCTTTACTTATTGTACTGCTCATTCCGTTGAAATGTAAGGAAATTAGTGTTATATTTCGGTTGATCTAAGTTTTTTCGTACGACTTGTGATGACAGCGGGATGAGCACCAAATTTCCTTCATTTTAGCTTCTCCCACGCATTTCGACCTCGACTTATTGAGGAATAATTAACACCATGACTTGCTATAGATACTATAACTCACTTTACGACTATAGTATAATTTATGGATGGCCGTTCTATTCAGTAATAAAGTGTTTATAATAGGCTATGATTTTGTTCAAAATTATGCCCAATCAAAATTAAAGATTAAGACTAATTTGCTTTTTGATGATTTTGTTCAATAAGGCAGAGTTGAGATGTGACAGATGGCTTTGTTCCTGAGAGAAAATGTGATACAGTGACAGTGCTAAGCTAGTGAGATTTTCAGGTAGATGCTTTATACTTATTAGGTTATACGCATTGATTTTCCGTCCGTTCTGAGAGAGAAAGAAAAGAAGAGAAGAGAATAGAAAACAAAGAAAACAGAATGAACGGAAAGGAATGAAAAAAATAAGCTATAAGAAAGAATGAGAATGGAATGGATTGAAAGGACAGGACAGCTAAGGAATGAGAAGATAAAAAGAAATTGAATGTATAGAGGAGAGAATAGGAAAAAAGAGAAACGAAAAATATGATATTAATGAAATACCTTGTCTCTGTACAAATAAATTTCATTGACCTAATCGTAATCTCAGATAAACATCTTGTTGCTAGACAACCCAAAAAGTATGTCGAGCCACCTTAATTTCATAACCGTGACACAGGGAGTCCAATTCGATGTTTTCAAACAGCACGTATCTCGCTATGCAGTATGGGATTATTCAGGAATCCAAGATGGCGTCGAAGCAACTACCTTATGGACCAGATCCGCTACAAGAAGCAAGGAAACACATGGTAATGAAGCCTTCTACTTTACATATCTCACTCAAAATGCACCAACTAATCTTTATACTTGCTATTTGTGTACTTTTTGAACTTACAGTATTCGTAAATTTTAAGTTTTTAATCATTTTTACAGGCGGAGTTGGCCAAACGACCTCCTATATCACCAGAAAAATGTGGAGGATTGATTGTAGGTTTACACTTTATATTTATTTTCTAGTTGATTTTTTTTTAAAGTTTTCTTTTATTATTTGATGCCATTATGTTTATGCTTTACTCTTTAACACTGTCTGTGTCTCTGTGTCTCTGTCTCTCGATTAAGCTTAAAATTTTCCTTTGATCCATCAGCAGTGGCCTGGGTTTTTTTTACATGTGCCTTGCTTGGATTTTAAGCTTGCGTCTTTGACAAAATGTATTCCGAGGTCGTTGGAATACTGTAAAATATATACTACACTACCAAAAGTATCCTAAAATGATGATAATTGTGCATATGGAAATATGGAAATATAAAAACTTCCATTGGGAGTTTGGAAACTACAATAATATTTACAATTTTAACCATGTCTGATGTTGGTGAGGGAGGGGGGGGGGGGGGGGGAGACAATTGTACACTCCTCTCTCCCCATAAAACAACATTATTTCTTATTGCAAGCTGATTGTTTTAGATGCTTTCATTTATTTCTTAATAGATTATGTTTACATGTTTTATAGTAAACTCAACAAAATTACTCGACTCTGATTGGTCGAGAGGAGTACAATTATAGCGTTAATTATTCTCCGTAGGAGTAAGTTGCTATGGCAACACGGCCAAAACAATGTCAAAACAATTATTTTCTATCATTTTGTACTTAAAAAACATATAAATAAAATTCTAAAGCCGTAAGAACAAATCGTTTTTCTGCATTTCAGTTGCGCAATGGACTGAAAATCAGCCGCCAAATAGACAAAGTTGAATGGCGTCGCTTCGCATTTTTTACTGAAACTATAAGCAAAAAATCGCACGCTCTTCTCGTACAATTTGGAAATTAATAGACATAGTAATGTTTTGAAAGTTCTTGTAATTGCACAAGCCTTTGAGATTGTGTGATTTCCTATGCAAATTCTGTCCACAAGTTATTGAAATTTTTGTTTCATTACAGAGAGACCCGGCCATAGAACGGTTCGGTTGGATAAGAGAAAACTCTGACCAATTCTTTAGATTCAAGCCAAGAACTGTCTTCTACTCTGTTATGGTTGCATTGGTCGTTCCTGGTGCACTATACTTCGGCTTAAAAAAAATGCAGGTTAGTATACTTACCTCTTTTCTATTATTGGGTTTACAGTAGTATTTGATAATCAAAAATATTCTTTACATGCATACTTTTATTTGATCGGCATGCAATATTATCTAATTATGATGCCAAATGTTGTCATGTATAAAGCACATGCCATTATAAGATGCACTCACAGCTTGTGATTTTCGATGCCTGATATGCATTGAAAGTTTTCGAAGACTCATTTTTTGAAAGTTCATTCATATTTCTATTCGATTGGTATGCAAAATTACCAAATTATAGTACCACATTTTCTCGCACATAAAGTGCACCTCACATATAAGGTGCACCTACAGCTTGTAATTTTCAAGGCCTGATATGCTGATATGCATTGCATCAAGTTTAAAACAGTTTTTTCTCACTACCAATATCTGTGGGATGAGATGAATTTGAAATAAAGTCCAAAATGTTTGCTCTCATTTTGCAGTAGAATGTTCCTACTAATTTTGTCTCACAATCTTGTCTCACTGATATTTTAAAATACTCTTGGTGGAATGTTTCTCATATAATTTTAAAAAAGTACAAAAAGCTTAAGTCTGAAACTATTAGGGGCACAAGTCTTAAACACAAAGTCTTAGAATTCTGATTGATACGTTTAAGTTGACATATTGTTTTAGCCTTTAAGTTGACATATTTTTTTAAAGCCTCTCTCACATACACCTGTAAGTTTTAAGGCTTCAGTAGCCTCACTTATGTTAAAGCGAAGTAGAGGTTTTAACTTCAACAAAGCTGTATTAATATTAATTGTCAAACAAACACTCCTGTGCCAATGCTTATTGTCAATCACATATCTTTTCTTGCATGGCCCTGTAACCTTAATTCGTTCCCACTTATGCTGACTTATGCCACATTTAAATAACTTTAATGTTCCACTAGACTTTGCTTAATTTCTCAATCAGTCGCTAGAATTTCGTTTTATTCCTGAATTTTTTTGCATGCTCCAATTATTTAGGTTGCACTGCAGACACCAACATTTACCAAAAATAAATAACAATTGCCTAAATCATAAAATGGATACATAAACTAAAAGTTATAATGTGTAACAGTGGAAGCATAATTTTAAAATACACGTTAACGAAATTTTAAGATAAAGTTCCCACACATTAAGTAATAATTTTTAAATATATATTTTCAAGAATTCACATTTACTGTATATTACTAGTGCTAAACATTTCTGTACTTCTTCTAACATAAATATAATAATTTTAATTTCAGAGAGACGCGGATATAAAAGCTGGCAGACCTCCTCGGGATTTTCTATAAACATTCTTAATTTTCTCATTGTAATTATATTTTAAAGTTTGAAAATACCATTTAAAATCTTTTCTAAGCTCAATTAATAGCTGTCTTGCTTTCTCAAGTATCTGTAGCTAATATGAATATCTTATAAGTGTTTCAAATATGTATGGCCTTGTGTTGAGTCATTTGGAGATGTTGTATTTTTTTATTATTAGGGAAAGTTCATTTAATATGCCGAGGGGGAGGGGGGATGAATATTGCTCTTAGAAAACCTTATTTTTTACAGGGCGCCCTATATTTACACGGCACGATTTGCCGCGCGCGACTTGACGTATACGGCAAAATCAGCTCAAAATCGGGTCGTGTAAATGGTCCTACGACAGAAGTACGCGGCCTCAAGACTTTTCGTAGCATTTTAAACTTTGGCTTAAAACCCTACGACATGCCGTAGGAAAATGACGCAAATATGACGATTTTGAGCGAGATTGGGACTGGAACTAGTTGATTCCAAAACAAAATGGCGGATTTCCATGAAAACGTCTTTACCGGTAATTAAACACGAAGTGCAAAAATTCTGAATGATCTCATCAAATAACAAGGTAGACATGATTATTTACTGCACTTCTCAACTGTGTATGGTGGCATTTTACAAGAAACATTTGCTGTTATGACGAGTAAATTGCTCGCGTTTTTTCCATGCCGCGTGCGACAAGTTATGCTCGTGTAAATGGTACCAAAATTTACCGTATACGTCAAGTCGCGTGCGGCAAATCGTGCCGTGTAAATAGGCCTTAAGGACTTAACTTAGCCCCCCCCCAAAGAAAAACAAAAACAAACAGCCAATGAAAATTTTCAAATTAAAATTGAGAGCTTCCCTTTGTATGCATTACAATTTTCCCTTATTGATATAAAATCAAGTGCTCTGTACTGTTGTCTGTCATAGGCGAGTTGTAGGCTTGATTTACGCGCTACGACTCGAGTTGTAGGATGGCGCGAACGTGTTGTATACGATAGTTGTAGGCAAAAATCGTACCGTCTAAACCGGCCTTAAGAATGTCAGGGCTCTAGGGCTGAGAGTGTACATGTAAATCATAAACATTATCAAAAATACGTGTTTGGGATACCTGTGTCGTTCTACCACGGAAAGACCAATTCATCTAGACTATCCGGTCATTTAGTCGCACATAATTCATTGTTATATAAAAAATAGCCATCGATTATTTTATTAACAAAGCAGTAGTAATATTAGAATAATATGAATAGGTAAAGAAATAGAAAAAATATATTCTCATTTTTAGTTTTGTTATTTTAAGCATAGTTTTAAAGGATAAGAATGGCATAAAAGAAAGAGATAAAAATTAGAGACGAGAAAATAAAATAAAATAAAAATTGAAGGAAAAGAGAGAAATGAATGAAAGAAAAAATAGAAATGAGAAGGAAAAGAGAGAAATGAAAGATAGGACATAAAGAGAGAGAAAGAAATAGAAATGAGAGAAAAAGAAAACGAAGGAAAGGGAAAAAGAGAATGATGGAAAAGAGAAAAGCGAAAAAAGAGAAAGTTAAAGAAACGAAAATGGAAGTGAGAGAAAAGCAGAACAAATGAAAATAAAATAAAAGGAAATTGATGAAAGAGAAGATAAGAAGAGAAAAAGGTGGATAGAAATTTGGAATGAAAAAATAATTTGAAAAAAAGGAGAACAATAGACACAACAAAATACGACAATAGAATAATTTATCAAATAGCTGGAAAAAAAGAAAATGGGGGAAAAAGGTTACATGTACGAGGTTGCCTTGCTACGATAACAAACTAGAGAGAATGTTTTGATGAGCTTTTGGTTTAAGTTCTACATAAACAGATCAAACGCAATATCTCGTTAAGAATGTCACACAGAAGCATATTTATTTCATAGACATATATGCCTTAATAGTGCAGTTTAATTAAAATAAAGGTCGATTGACTGCTAAGTCAATAAGAGGTCCATAGCTTAAGAGATGGCCAGACATAGCTAGAACTTTAGCTAAAACCTTTTTTTTTTTTTTTTTTTTTTTTTTTTTTTTGTTTTTTTTTTTGTTGTTGTTGTTGAAAATTTCTCTATATTTCATATTAATAGCAAATACGAAATGCTTGGAGAATATTCATTCTAATTACATCGACAATTCCTTCCACCTTCGCTGTACTCCTAAAAAAAAAGAGTTCCTATGCATTTTTTCGATCAAGTTTTCGTAGTCTAAGTTTCAGTAATTGAAGCTTTCTTTTAGTTTCTGATGGTTGCGTGTAGCGCTTTAACCAAACGTACAAATAAATTAACCAAATAACCACTAGTCCATGTGGGATGTGTCAGGTCAAATACACTTCAGTCTATCGCTTTCTTTACTACTAGGTATTGATTCGCGTGTCTTCGCGTGCAGGCCCCTCCTTATTTACTTTATCTTAACTTGATACCTTGAAAGAACAAAGCGTTTTCCAAGGCAACGGAGATCTTATTTCAAACTCAACGAGATGAGACTTTGAACGTCTGAAATGTTGTACAAACATCATTAATCTTTATGAAAGATAGATGTGCACATCTTGGGTTAAATGCGTTGCCATAGAAATGGTTTCGTGTAAGTTTTATTGAATTTTTTAGATTTCCACTCGCATCTTTCAAACACAATTCTTGTTTCCTTGGCTTTAAAAAGAAACAAGTGCAATTGTCGATTATTTTGCTCCCTCTAAGTGATCCTAGACTACTAATACTATAATCCTGAAGTTTTAGCTTTAAGTACCCTCAAAGTGGACCAAGCGTCTAGCGGTTATTGGGACTGCGTTGGTGTGTTGAACGAATTAAGTGAATAAGAAGAGAACTTAAATATCGCGGGGGAAAAAATTGCAACTCTGCATGACGTTTCGGACGTTAGTCATTGGTCGGAGTTCAGGCAAAAGCTCTGATGGAGAGATGGGATGAAGGGCGCACCGTTTGATTACTGGATGAAGGACTATCTTCATAGTTACGTAGCTCGCTTATACAATCAATGGCCCAAAGTAATCACAAAGTTGATTAGATATCTGAATAAGTCAACCAAATGAATATATTTTGAACATTTTCTAACGGTGTTATTTCGAAACCATGACATTATAATCTATGATTCTTTATTGCTTAATTAGCTCTCTAGAAAGATTTAAGCTTACGAATGTAATGAAAAGAAGAAGCACGAGAAGATAGATGGAAAAAAATATAGAAGACACAAAAGAAAGAGAGAAAGAAAGAGAGAAAGAAAGGAAGGAAGGAAGGAAGGAAGAAAGAAGGAAAGGAAGGAAGAGAGACAGACAGACAGACACACCTTTATTTGAAAACGATAGTTCCATAAGCATAAAACTTCTTTACATGGAAGTCGTTATTGATTAATAAAATATAAATATATAATCCTAAAAAGTTGAAAAATATTAGAAATGATTTAAATAACAAAGAGAAAAATCCTACTGAGAACTGACAGGACGCCATCTCATCAGACGTTTTTTAAATTCATTCTTTGTTGGAGCAGATTTAATTTCAGAGGGGAGAGAGTTCCACATCTTAGCCCCTCTGTAATAAAAGCTACTCCTGAAAAAGTCTGTTTTGGGGATGTATGGTATTTCAATTTGATCGTTCCCTCTTAATTTAGATTTATAGGTGCTCGAATCCGAGGACCTCATATTAAATAAATTGCTTAAATACGATGGGCAATTTTCATGGAGAACGTCAAACATGAATGAACACAGTCTTTCCTCTCGTCTTTCGTGCAATTTGTCCCAGTTTAACTGTTGCAAAATGTCAGCAGACCTCACATCATAACCTTGATAGGTTATGATGCGAGCAGCTCTGTTTTGAAGCTTTTGAAGACGTTCTGCTTGACCCTTGTTCAAATTGCTCCAAACAAGGTCGCAGTAGTCAAACGTGGGCTGTATTAATGCTTTATACATTGTAATAAGGGTAGAAATTGGAACAAAATCTCGAATTTGTTTTAAACAGAGAGAGAGAGAGAGAGAGAAAGAAAGGAATGAAGGAGATGGAAATACAGCGTGTTCAGTCTTTCATCATTATTAGGTTTTTTACGACACATTTGTTAGACACCACGGGTTTCCCTGTAATCTGAAAAGAATGTAATATGATGTGCATGTCAGAGATATGCCTCCAAGCATTATGCCTCCAAGCATCCAGACTTTGTCAAAACCCACCAAAAACAATCTACTTCAAGAATTGATTACAAAAATAAAATTGTATCCTAAGTAAAGAATATCACCTATATCTTCAAATAGATTTACGTTTATTTGCAATGTGCTTCCAGCCTAATTTGGTGACACAGCATTCCTGTCACAGTAAACCGACAGAATTCTTATTTTTTCAATTAAACAGAGTTGAGTGAAAGGCTTAAATCTGGGACAGGTTTCTTCTATATTAGATTTGCTTAGGCTTGGGATGGCTTACCTAGGTAAGGCGTTGCCTTGGATGAGGTTAAATTTTGAAAATTAAGAGGAAGTACGTCTTTATTGGAGTGTTCCGCCAGTTGCTTACATACACGAGAATGTGCCTTGACTAACAACCTCTTAAAGTTTTCACAGTTCTTAAAATTAAATCTAAGATTGACAAATAAAATTGTATTATCAGGGCGTGCACAAGTGTTTAATATAGGTCCCCAATGTAGATGAGAGGTTTTTCAATTGTCGTAGGAGACAAGTCTCTGGTACACTTGCCAATATTGAATACTGAGTGTGGTGCCTTGGATAACTAAATCTTTAATTGTAATATGTAATTGTCAAATAGAGTTGATAATCTATGGACAAAGCGTGCACAAGTGTTTAATATAGGGTCGAAGTGTAGATGAGAGGGTTGTCAATTGTCTTAGGAGATGACGGTTACACTTGCCAATATTCAATACTGACTTTGTTGCCTTGGATGACTAAATCTTTAATTGTAATATGCAATTGTCAAATAGAGTTGATAATCTATGAACAAAGCATGCACAAGTGTTTAATATAAGGTCCCAGTGTAGATGAGAGGGTTGTCAATTGTCTTAGGAGATGACGATTACACATGCCAATACTGAAGAGTGTGTTGCTTTGGATGACTAAATCTTTAATTGTAATCTACAATTGTCAAATAGAGTTGATAATCTATGGATAGGGCGTGCACAAATGTTTAATATAGGGTCGCAGTGTAGATGAGAGAGTTGCCAATTGTCTTAGGAGATGACGGTTACATTTGCCAATATTGAAGATTCTGTTGCTTTGGATAACTAAATCTTTAATTGTAATCTACAATTGTCAAATAGAGTTGTTAATATATGGACAAAGCGTGCACAAGTGTTTAATATAAGGTCCCAACGTAGATGAGAGAGTTGTCAATTGTCTTAGGAGATGACGGTTTCACTTGCCAATATTGAAGAGTGTGTTGCCTTGGATGACTAAATCTTTAATTGTAATCTACAATTGTCAAATAGAGTTGTTAATATATGGATAGGGCGTGCACAAATGTTTAATATAGGGTCGCAATGAAGATAAGAGGGTTGCCAATTGTCTAAGGAGATGAGTTATCGAAGAGCGTGTTACTTTGGATAACTAACTCTTTATAAATGTAATCTAGAATTGTCAAAGAGAATTGACAATCTATTATGTGGTTAAGAGGGTTGTCAATCGTCTTTGGGGTTATAAAATCTTTAAATGTAATCCACTATTGATAAATGAAGAGTTTTGCACAATTCCTTCAAGATAGGAATGAGTACGTGCGCAACCTTTCACAATTTCACAATCCAGTTTGAATTAAATGTCTGACACATGCAAATTTCTAACCGTGGTTATCCAAGGCTTTAATGAAATTGCTCATTTGACAGAAAGGATTAGGAAAATAAGGACAAGTATAATACCCCATTCACACCAAGGCTTAAACATGTTT